TCACACTGCTTCATGTCTGGCTGTGAGCTGGGCCAGTGAGAGATGACCAGTCACACACCATGATGAGCACATCTCCACACCAGACCTGATCCAGACAGACTCAAGAATAACATCATTCTGACACAGACTGGCTCCCAGCTGGCCCAACACAAGCAGGCAGTTCAGATGTGTTGTTCCAGCACTACAGACACCGAGTATGACAGCAGGACACAGGCAGGACCCCACAGTGTCCAGAATACAGGCTGTTCACTCAGGACAGGGCTGATGGACTGTTGTCAGTCTGAAAGGAGACTTTTTAGACAAGAGGAGAGAAAATTCCTCTTTGAGACACTGTTGTCCCAGAATCTGTTTCATCTGTAGCTTCTATGGATTTCAGAAATCTGAGTATTTTACAGATTAATGAACATGTGTGTGTTTGTGGAGAATCAGAGAGAAGGATTTACTGTGTATCAGTGCAGTAGAGGTCATCACAGTGGAGCTCAGTACATGTCAGCACATATCAGTACAGCAGAGCACAGCTCAGCCTCATCTGTATTTTCACTTCTGTGATCTGACAGACACAGGAGGTACTTACCCAGCTCTGTGAGGATGACAGGAATGGCTGGAAACAAGAGGACATTATTAGACCATCAGGGCTCTCAGTCACTGATGACTCTCAAATCAGTTTAAATATTCAAACTCAAACAGGCAGCAAATACCACCTTCCAGAATTAAACTATCAATGACAAGAAACATAACACATAACATTCTTCTAGGTACATATTTTAATCATAAAATCATTTCTTTACTCTGTTCTATACATAGAAACTATGTTATTGTTCTTTTACAGAGGAACTCCTGCTAAAATGACTTTAATTAATGATTAATGAAAATTAACGAGAAGCTACAGAGAGTCTAACTGATTCAATTTCAACTCAAGATGCTTTATTGGCACGACCAATGAATAAATCAGTGTTGCCAAAGCTATACAAATAGAATTAACATCAAATCTACAGACACTTACAGAAATGTGACAATACAGACACATCTCACAGTCACTCACCATTGAGCTTCTCCTCCCCTGTAAACAAACACAGACACTGGTGTCAGACACACAGGAACAGAGCTGGAGAAACTGGACAACGACTTGGGGCATTGTCTCCATTACAGGTGTTATACAGTACATCTTACTTGATATAAGAACAGAAAGGGAGCAGCCCATACAGTCAGTTTGGAAGTTAGTATCTCATCCAGCTGTGTCTTCAAACGAAGCAGGTATCGGCTTCAACAGCTTGGCTGGGCAGCTTGTTCCCTCTCCCACCACCCTTTGTGTAAGGACGTTATCTCCTGCTCTCAGTTTTTAATGTATATCCCCCAGAAAAATAGAAACCACATCCCCAAAACTGATCCCTCCTATCTCTCATAAATGAGAATCACTTCACCCCATTCTGTAATGTTTAAACACAGAAGTTGGGTAACTGTGGTGAAAAAGATATTCCATTCTCACTGTGATTAGAGTGTACTGTATGTACCCACTACCTCATTATCTCTCTGGACTCCAGGTATCCTCTCTGTAGATCTAACTGTGACACAGTGGACACAGTCATGACCGCAGACCACATACATCAGTAGCACAGTGACTCCTACAGGAGCATGAACATCACAAAGCATCCCTGTCCAGCAGTAACCTCACACTGACAAAGGGCTCCTGTCCTGAAGAAACACCAGGAGTATCAGACACAAAGTAGAGCTGGAATATGAGTCTAGATTAGAGCAGAGACCTCTACTCAGAACTCAGAGTGGATTCTGGGTTATTAAATTGCAAGAACTGGAAAACAAAATACTTCACTGTGTCAGTAGATAGACTTGTTCTTCACAGAGCAGAGCAGTGGAGTCTGGAGGTTATGAGGAATTCAGTGATGTGAGTTTACAGCAGTTATTCCTTTATTGACTACAGGGTGATCTGCAGATGTGATACAGAACAGACACCTGACACACCTACAGGCAGGGTCTCCTGTCAGCCCTGCTCCTGTACTGAGCCCAGACTGCAGTCCGGTCTGTGAGAGCGATGAGGGTAACAGCAGCTCTGTGATGATGTCCTGTATTAACAGCTCACTACAGTCCAGAGCAAAACCCTCTTCTCTCTGTGGAGTCTTCCTGGTTAAACACTGTGATAACACCATCCTGTCATGGAGATGGAGCTGAGACAGTGGACAGTGTTTTAATTCCCTGATCATTAATGCAGCTCCATCAAGATTCAGTCTAAATAACTGTGTCTTTCAGCAGCTCCAGTATTGTTGTCTCTTGGGACTTGTTCCAGAACTGAGTGCAAATCCAGTGTGTTTCTATCTTCTAATGTCCTCACTGTCCTCTGTGTCCTGACTGGTCATTAAGAGCTCAGGGAGGTGTTTGTACAGAGTAATAAATAACAGCTCCTGCCCTGGTCCTGCTCAGCACTGATTACTGTCCCTTCAGCAGCTGTGTGAGAGACTCTCCTGCACAGAAACTGCTGGTTGTGAAGTGAAGCTCCAGTAGGATCTGCTGAGCTGATTCCTGCTGTACCAGCTGTATCAGACAGGCTGGAGAAGATCCTGTACTGACCGCAGTCTAGAGAGGTGTGTTCAGTAGAGTGTGTGACCCTGATATATTATCCAGCAGCTGTATCAGACAGGCTGGAGAAGATCCTGTACTGAC